CAAGGTAGCTATTTCTATTTCAAAACACACACACACACACACACACACACATATATTTACATACTTTAAAGTGTGAATTTTTTTTTTTTTTTTTTTGTAAAAGGGATGAAGAATTAGCTGGGTGCAGTGGATCATGCATGTAATCCCAGCAGCTTGGGAGTCTGAGGCAGGAGGATTGAGAGTTCAAAGCCAGCCTCAGTAACAGTGAGGTACTAAGCAACTCAGTGAGACCCTGTCTCTAAATAAAATACAAAATAGGAAATAAGGCTGGGGATATGACTCAGTGGTTGAGTGCCCCTCAGAATAGGAAAATTTCTAAGAGCACAAAGGATATTTGGAACTTGAAAGATGTTAACCTTTGTTTGGCTGCCTGTTTAAGTGTGGTACATCACTATGGTAGAGGACCCAAGAGATAAAAGTCTGGGCTATTAGGAAAATACGACATATAATTGTGGAAAAGAAGATTTCAAAAAGGAATTGAAAAAGAATACTGGGTTGAAAAACTTCATGCGAGTGGATTCATGCGCATACAGAGATGACCACAATTGTCTGCTAACATTGTTTGGTTCAATATATGAACAATACCAAAATGGGCTGCTGTGCTCTTGCACAACATAATAGAATCAGAACAAGTGGTGGGGAAGAACAGACTCTTAGAACATTTCTCTTGTTCTTGATGTTGCTGTTACTACTCTAGGTGGAGATCAGACTCAATATTCATTACAGTAGACACATCTCAGGATCAGATAGATAAGGATTTAGGGAAATTCATCTGAGAATCATTTTATTTTTTTAAAAGGGATTAAGTGCCATAGACTCTTGAATTTTTTAACAAGCAACTTGGATCTTTTTTTTCAGCTCCTAAAAGTCGACTCCAAAATCGCCTGCTCTTCCATTTGGCCCACAAGGTATTTATGTTTTCATTTCAATTTTCTTTTTTGGTATCAGGGATTAAACTCAGGGGCACTCAACCACTGAGCTACATCCCCAGCCCTATTTTGTATTTTATTTAGAGAGAGGATCTCACTGAGTTACTTAGTGCCTTGTTTTTGCTGAGGCTGGCTTTGAACTCACGATCCTCTTGCCTCAGCCTCCTGAGATGATGGGATTATAGACAGGTACTGAACACCCAGTGATTCTGACACTTGGCTCAAAAATGTTTTTGTTTTAACAATATTTTTCTCTTATTTTCTTCTGTTAACAATAGAGAAAGGCAGCTGGGTATGGTGGAGCAAGCCTGTAATTCCAGCAGCTCGGGAGGCTGAGACAGGAGGGTCATGAGTTCAAAGCCAGCCTTAGCAAAAGCCAGGCACTAAGCAACTCAATGAGACCCTGTCTCTAAATAAAATACAAAAATGGGCTTGGAGGGCTGGGGATGTGGCTCAAGCGGTAGTACGCTCGCCTGGCATGCATGTGGCCCAGGTTCGCTCCTCAGCACCACATACAAACAAAGATGTTGTGTCTGCCAAGAACTGAAAAATAAATATTAAAAAATCCCCCCCCTCCTCTCTCTTTAAAAATGGGCTTGGGATGTGACTCAATGATCCAGTGCCCCTGAGTTCGATCCCTGGTACCAACAACAACAACAACAACAACAACCTAACAATAGAGAAAGGCAATTAACTATAAATTCCTGTTGATAGCATTTCTAGAATAAGTGGAATATAGATGTTAATTTTATTGGATTTTCCCATCATTAATGTTCTTTACCCTCTTAATTTATTCAGAGGTGTTAAGTTTTAGTTATTCTTAGAGAGCAGTCATTTAAGAATGTTAGTGTGCTTCGACTATCCTATCATCTCTTAGGAAACAGACTCAGAGGTACCTTTCTCTGACTCATGGAAATAAATATACATTTTTCATAATTGCCTTAGGGCAGCAATTTTGATCATTATAATGTTATATTTTAAGTTATAATTTAAAAATATATTTATTTTTCAGTTGTAACTGGACACAATACCTTTATTTATTTATTTTTATGTGGCGCTGAGAATCAAACCAGGGCCTCACATATGCTAGGTGAGTGCTCTACTGTGAGCCACAACCCCAGCCCCAAGTTATAATTTTTTGAAATATAAAATTTATACCCATTTATTCTATTAAACAAAATATAAGTAAGGAAAAGAGCAAGTGAAATAATATCTACCATATTAAATAGTAACTACCTTTCTGGGCTTCGGCTGTAGCTCAGCAGTAGAGTGCTGCCTAGCACATTCGAGGCCCTGGGTGCGATCCTCAGCACCACATATAAATAAATAAAATAAAATAAAGGTATTGTGTCAACTACAACTAAAAAATATTTTAAAAATAACTACTTTTTAATCTTTTAGAATATCTCTTTTAGGATAGATATTTTTTATTAGAACTTTATAGTTATAGTAGTAGGGTTCATCCCGACAAATTCATAGATGCTTGGAAATCCATTTCAGTTCATGATCCCACCTTTTCCCTCCTGTCTTCCCTCCCCTCTCCCATTCTCCTTCCTCTACTAGACATTATTTCACTCATCTATTAATTTGTATTTGATTGGTTCTTTATGTTATTCTATTCTTCTCTCCCCCTTTCCCTTATTTTACTCTTGCTTCCACATATGAGAGAAAACTTTTGACCTTTGAGTTTCTGAATTTGGCTAATTTCACTTAACATAATATTCTCCATCTCCATCCATTTACCAGCAAATGCCAAATTTCATTCTTTTATGACTGAGTAGAACACCATTGTGTGTGTGTGTGTGTGTGTGTGTGTGTGTGTACACCTATATTATATATCACAATTTCTTAATCCAGTCATCTATTGATAGGCATCTGGATTGATTTCCTAATTTAGCTATTGTGCATTGTGCTACT